TTTTTCCGGAGATTTTTTTTTTTACATGTACATGTACATCTTTTTTTTTAATTTTTCTGCTGTGTATATGTCTAATTTTTGATAATTTCGGTTTTATTAATATTCAGAAATTATAACACGAAAAAGGGAGTAAGCAAAGGGGTATGTAAAAGTGGATGTAACCATTTATTGAAAAAGGGATGGTATTGTTAACGTTTCTGCCCTGGCATTTCCTTTTAACTTTCGTAAGGTTTTTTAAAAAAACACTGACAGATCTATGAAATTTTTCGATGTTTTGCAAAACTTCACTCGTAGTTGAAGATGTGGTTTTATTGATATGATTCGGACAAACCGATCTATAGGATCTGGTTCAAATTTTTTCCAAAACACGTTATGATTTAAAAAAAAAATTATTTGCAAGAAAGGAAATCGTTTTACTGCACCTGATTTTAGAATACACTTTAAGCCGTGTTTTTATTCACAAGTATATTTTTATTTCAGTACAGTACTGTTCTAAGAGGGATTTTTAATTTTTACATATTTTTAGGGGGATTTTACATTCATTCGTTTAACAAGTAGTTTGGGGATTAAAAAAAACCAACAACCAGGGGAAATGGGATCCAAGTCAATGTTTTTGGGAAAAAATATTTTGTTCGCATTGATATGATAAAAAAACATCTTCAAAATGAAACTTATCAAAAAAAAAAAACGAAAAATGAAAGGTTTTAATTTTTTTAAAACCGAAAAGTTTTAAGAATTTTTCTAAAATTTTTTATTTTGACTACACCCAAAAAAGATTTTTTGATAATTCAAATTTTAAGACGAAACTTAGATGGAGTTAATTGACCTTTTACGTAAAAATACCCAGAAATTTGGGGGGTGAGGACTCAAAAAAAATACATTTCATTTTTTTTTTAAAGGCGTTTTTGAGCTTCCAACCCCAAGTGTTTTGGGAAAATTAACCCCCGCAACAAAATTTTTTTGGTCAGAAGTTTTAAAACACTAGCTTCTTTTACTGCAAAGAAGCACAATTTAAAACTTTTTTTAAACACGAAAAAAATACAAAGCAAAAACATCACTTTTTCGTTCTATGGGGTTTTCCAAAATTTTTTTAAGCTTTTTCCCTAAAAGTAAGTCGAAATTTATATTAAATTTTTTTGCTTCAAAGTTAAAGGGGAGGGTTTTATATTTCCATTGTACAGACAACTTTTTTTTTGTAACAATTACTTTTTGCAAAATTTCATTATATAAATGTCAAGTTTCAAAATTTTTCAGGTTTAAATAAAAATTTTTTGAATTTTTAGTAAAAAAAATACCAAAAAAGGAAAATTTCTTAATTTTCCGCATATGTAACACAGTTCAGATTTTTGTTAGGTTTTTCAAAAGGGAAAAAAGAAAATTTCGAAAAAATAAGCATTTGAACGTCTATTCTTTCTTTGACGGATAAGGGGTAGAAGACAATTTTTAGCCCTGGCGTTTTATTTTTACCCTTTATGGGGGTAAGTAATTTTATTATAACTGTGTTTTTTTCAAGCCCCCCAAAATCGTAAAATATATAGAGGATTTTTTTTTAGTTCAGTGTAAGATCGAAATATATTTCCCGAGTGAGCCCAAAAGGGGTTTTTTTTCACGAATGGGAAGCACGAGTGAAATTAACTTTTGGGGTCACGAGGTGGGAAATATATTCGATCTTTCAAAATAAAAAAATTTTTTTTTAAAATTTTTAAGCAAAGAAAACGTTTTTAAAAAGACATTTTACTAGTAAAATTTAAAAGGGCCCAAAAATAACAAACCTGAAAAATTTACGACGTCACGTCTTAAGTTTTGGTTTTCCGTATTTTTGAACGCTTTTTTTTCACTGAAACAAACGGCCGGGCTCAAAAAAATTTGAAAACAGGAAATTAAACAAATTGAATAATTTCACTGTTTTGAAATAAAAAATTAAGAAAATTTTGTTTTTAGTTAGTGTTTAAATCGGAATATAAATTTCCGAGTTGCACCCAAAAGGTATATTTCACGAAAGTGGGGCCCGCAGCCCCCGAGTGAAATTTGAATTTTGGGTTCACAAAGGTGAAATTTTATTTCGATGTTCACTAAACTAAACCCAAATTTCTTTTTTTTTAATGCAAAGAAACGTTTTAAAAACGACATTAAACCTAAAAACGAATGAAAAAAACGCCCAAAAAGATACAAAAAAGTTACGTCATTTACCGTCACGTTTTAAGTTGGTACCCAGTACTGTGCAGCTGGGGGTTTCACTGAAAACAACTGAGGGGTTAAATTCAAAAAGTGAAATTATCAAAAGTGGTAATTTCACTGTTTCAAAAAAGTGGAATTCCAGTTTTATATCACTGAAAATTTCTATTAACCACCGAAAAACATTTTAAAAATTTTAAATAAATAATTCTAATTTATTTTACTTTTTGAAAAAATTAACCCTTAAAAATTTTAAAAAATTTAATTTGAAAAAAAGTGAGTCTATCTGTGAGAAGGTTTGCTTGTTGTTTAAAAACTTTTAGCAACCCCTTTTTTACTATATTATTGTACATTTGTTTTCGGTTTTCAAAACTTACTTTATTATAGTTCAATAAAAAATCATTCAACTAAGTTCCCCTTACATTTTGCAGTTCCCGCGTTATTTTTACATTCATTTAACGGTAAACAAGCTGAAATAAACTTGGTTCTTTAGAAAAAAATAAATAGATCTATAAAAGTTCATATTAAAAATGGTCATTAAAAAATTTATTAACTCTCTACAGGTACTGTTTACAGCTGTGAAAACTGTTTACCAAATCCAGACAATACAACAGACATTTGTAACGTCACTTCCGGACACTGCTTACATGGATGCATCAAAGGCTTTTTTGGTTTGAATTGCTCATACGATTGCCCGAAAAACTGTATAAAATCATCAGGGGAAAACGAAACCGATTGTGATAATATTACGGGAGAATGCCTTAATGGGTGTACCAAAGGACATGCAGGACCAAACTGTTCCTATGATTGTCCGGAGAACTGTGCCCCTCCCGAAAGCAATGAAAGCCAAATATGTAATGAAACGTCCTTTGACTGTTTATGCGGTTGTAAGAATGGTTTCTATGGTAACCAATGTAATAAATCGTGTTCTTTAACTGACAAATACTGCAGTGAATGCTACGAGGAGACAGGTAGTAGGTATGTCATTTTAATGTTAGATACCCAGTAGGTCAGTGTCGACAGTACTTGTCGTTAATGCATTAACAGGTTGGTTTTTTTTGTTTATGTAAATTTTAAAAATTTATTTTAGTTAGAAAAAAGCTATTTTGATCAAGTTTTAACTTTAAATTTGTTTTAGTATTTTTTTAAAAAATTTTTTCCCGAAATAATACAATTATGATACACGTCAAATCATATGTTCAAAGAAAAGGATTAGACTGGAAGACATTGGCATTTAAAGCAGCTTGTAAGTTATAATCGTTATCGTCATGTATTTTTTTTAACATTTCAGTGGAACAATTTGTACACAATGTTACAAGAATTTCTATCGTCTCAATGGAAAATGTGCTTCCTGTAATTATTGGTGCTTGCCGAATGTGACTAGTTCTCTGTCAATATGTAGAGAACATTCGGGGTACTGTGAATTCGGATGTCGACCTGGTCGCTATGGTTTCCTGTGCAACGACCGATGTAGTGATTCCTGCATGGATGTTTGCGATAGACAGAATGGTAATGATTATTTTTGACAACTTTGAGAAAATTATTTAATATTTATTTTATTTCGTCACGTAATTAGTTGACTGTACAATAGATTTTTGGCATTAAGAAACTTCATGTTCTTTTCTCCAGACCTACTTTAATTTGTTTTAAAATTTGTCTAATAAATACCATGAGAATAAAAATAATATTGACCTAACCAAAAAAGTTATCTAATTTTTTTCTTAAATCAAAAATAATCATTTTTAAGTATATGCAATTTAAATTTTACACGTACTCCAAATTCAATTGAGACGGCAAATATCAGAATAAGTTTGAATTTTCTTCATCAGTTGTAAGTTTCCAATTTTTAATGCCTCGTCGTCCTGACATATGCATATCACATTGTTATAAGTTTTAGTACCTTGACACTAAGTATTTTATGTATGTATATTTCAGGGAAGTGTTTGACAGGATGTAAGTATCAAATCAAATGTGGTCCAACATGTAAAGAAAGTTGTAATGTAGGTTGTTTGTACCAACTTTGTAACCAGTCTTGCGCATGCGTAAAGGGATGTGACAAAGGATACTGGGGAGACCGATTGCCAATATCTCTGTAGCGAAACAATGTTATAACCATCTATCCAATCAAACAAGTGATCGCAGTGTGACGACTTCAACATGGGTCCACTGCTTCGTATGGATTGCTACGGTGATGGATCTGTGGGGAAGCAGCTGTCACATAAAATGTTCACCTGTTGTGCGACAGTAAGAATGTGAACAGGAGTCTGGGGCGTGGATCCAGGTGCAGGACACAAGAAACGTTTTTGGTCCTCAACTGCCAAATTGATCTGTAATGAAAACTGCCTGAATAGAACCATGTTGGAGAAAAAATGGGGTCATGGTGAATCCAAGCTGTGTTGCTGGTAGTTATGGTGCCTATAGTCAGCTGTCATGTAACAAAATTGTTTTACATGAACACGTGTAAAACAGAAATAATGGGATTTTGCAGGTGGTTTCACAGTGGATGTGTATTGGTTTGTAGTTTTACAGTGTAATGGAACGTGTATGAAAATGGTACATGTGAACAAGATTTCTGGTGATTGCGAACACACGATCACTGAAAGCAAAAGCATATAAACCAAATCTGAAATGAAGGTTTTGAAAACGACTTCAAACACTGTATTTAGTATATAACTATTTAAGGCCTAATTTATTTTTTTTTTAATAATCCAAAACCACAATTTCCTGACTTGAATTGTTGGCAATCTGAATAAAAAATAGCTCCCATATAAACCGTTACGCATTGTATCTGATAGGCACCGATTGGAGATACCTTCTCGTGCCTTTCAAACAGCACATCATCGAAAGCTTCTCACAAATTTAGAAGGCATGCAGGCCGCAAGAAACCCAATCAAATAAGTAGGTAATTTTCACGAAGGTCAGAGACAACATACGTTTGTTCATATAAAGCCAGCAGGTACACTGGCAAAACAATCTTTGCCATTTAAAATTGAGGTCTATTATTTTCCAGTTATATTTGATTTCAAATTACAACATTTTTTATCCACAAAGTCAGCAATTCCTCCGCAGAAGAGATATTTTGATACTTCGTCTAATTTTCTCATCTGTTAAAGAAGGGTTTGGGTGGTATGGCTTAAAAAATTAGCTTTCTCTTGGAACTCCGATTCTACAATGAAGGCAAAAAAATACCGTTGGCATCAGATCTGCATGCAAGAATAAACTATATACATATCTTTGAACTTTAGTCAGAATTGTTGAATTATTGTTTATTGTGTGAATTCAGAGATGTACTAGTATGTGTTTAGTTTATTATTATGATATACATCTATAAATTTGTATTGCGTGGTTTCAGACATTTTATTCGGACAGAATCGTCTCTATATAAATGTTGCTATACTGGGAAGCGGCTGGATGATGTTCCTGATACTTCTTATTCTTTTCATTGTCATTCTTTGCAAACGGCGCTGTGCAGCTGAAGGTATAATACTCAATATTTCAGTTCGATTTCTTTAATTGATTTTTGTTTTCCTAGTTCAGTATTTCGAATGAAGATATTACAACATCAATCACATTTTTTGGTATAAATATAACAACAACATTAAAGCTATTAACATCCAATAATAAAAGCAGTGGTACAAGTTCAAATATAATTAAAAAGAGCTTACCACGGGAAGCATAATGAAATTAAATTATGTTTCTGTTGCAAAATGCAAAAAAAGATGTATGTATCCAGTATAATACATTGGCTTCTTTCAAATGTAGTACTTTTTATTAATATTTCTATTAAAGTAGTTTTTATTTCATTTCATTTTAAAAAGGGTCTGCAAATATTTATCTTCCTCATTACACAATGTATAAATTAAACAATTCTTCAAGGATGCAATTTGCATAACATGAATATATGGACGTAGTAAAAAAAATTGCAGAATCGGTTTAGTTGAGTTTATTCATGAAAATATACTTGTAGTTGCAAAATGTATTACGCAACTGCACCAGTTAAAGTAATATTCAATCCTCGACACTTCAATTTCCCGAATGACCATAAATATGTAACAATACTGAGATAATGAACCGGGAAATCCAAATAAATTACACAGTATTTACATGTCTCTTCTGAAATAATAAATAACTGATTAAATACAGCTTTATCAAATACTGGTATATCGTCGGTTGATATTATCTTCCTATATTGTCTTCCTGGTACGTTTGAAATTATCATATTCAATGTGTTAAAGGAAATAATTGAATTTAACCGCGAATGAGGTTGGAAATCTTTACAATTGTTTTAATTTTCATACAAAGTCTCGCGTAAAAGATTGTTAAAGATACCACAAACTAACTCGGATCGAGATTGATTCACATGTATGACAATATAAGGAACTTTACTTTATTTTATTCACGTTATAAAAGATTAGTGAAAATAAAGACAAAATGATATCAGTGTATTTGTTGATTTAGGGCTTCGTTGATAGAATTACATTTTTTTTTAATAATCCAATTTCAAATTTTATTGCATATTTCGTAGAAATACTTAGTATGTATAAAGAATTTTCTTCTGATCATTGTCTGTAAAGATTCTTATATACATAACATCCTGTTGAATTTCTACTTTAGATATTTATCCGTCTCAAAATATTGTTGAATGCCACATTGTGTTATTTTAATAAACACAATTCTGTTTTCTATTTTTCGATTGGGCAAACTTAACTTTTCATAGGTTCTCTTGTCTGTTGCAGTTTGCTTGATGATTGATTTGAACTGGAGAATAGAGGCGAACATAAATAAATTAGGACAGGAAAACAAGACTCAGTGCTGGCAGAAGTTAGCTGCAGAATTTACCCTAAAGAATATAGAATGTATAAGCATCACACTATCATAATATTGAGTGTTTGTGCACTTCTTTCATGACTCAGTTATTTTGTGTATTATATTGAAATATATTTAATGATATTTGTTAAATGTAATATATTGTATTGATCATTGTGTTGAAACGTAGCGTACGTATTGTGCCTGGGCGTTGCTGTGTACACTGTATATGTTGGTGTGGCAAAAAAGGTTTTTTTGTACTGATTTTGCCAATAATTTGAAACTTTGATGGCAAAGTACTTCATGGCTCATGTATCTGGCTGTAGAACCATACCGAGGCTTAGTTATTCTCTTCTTCCGCTATACTTGATTCAAAATTGTCCCGAATTCCTTCGACAAAAACACGTGACATTGTCTTTTATAAGACAATAACCAATTAACGTGTCAAGATCGCGGCTTAATCAAGACGTCTTGCAAATCGAGGTTTAACGAAAGTTGTATGTGTCAAAATCGTATGATAAGATTTTACAGAATCTTACTTTCGTATTAAGATGGCCCCTTTGGAAGTTTTCAAATAGATTAAGAACAATTAATTTAAATTGACGTTGTGGACATTCTCAAGTGAAACATTTATAGACTATTTAGTCATTTCCCATTAATCTGCTCCATGATTTCGTGTTGTTATCTAAAGTCAGAAATATTTAATGTTTAAAATATCACGAAACTGTTGAATTGATATTGCATAATTTATTATTGAGGAAATGTTTGTTTAATTCAATTTCAAGTAAGTGAAGGATAAGGAAAGTTGAACAAACAAAAACGAAAAAGAAATTGTTATAAATGTGAGAAATTGACGGTAACTATTTAAAATATTTATTAAGATTTTGCACGCGTAAAAGGAAAACTAGAATAAACTTAATCACTTAACTACAGTTAAACGTTTTGAAACTTTCCTTAAATTATTACTTTTTCAAATTATAAAAAGTGGTAGAAAGAAATTTAAGAAAATCGCCCAAAAAAGGCCGAGAAAATGCTATGTAGCTAAATATATGAGGTTAATCTCAAGAAAGTTTCGCAACATTTACTCCGAATAAACTTAAAATCCATTTAAATACACGTGTATTAGTCCTTTACATACACATTTCCACTACATTTTAAAAATATTTAACTGACGTTTTGTTGTGTAAATATTAAATTTCTTTTAAGTAAAGTACATTGGTATTTCTGAATATTAATTTGCTTCGAACAGAGTGTACAAGTATTGCAGTTTATTAGGCGCAATAGTTTATTAAATACCAATTATTCAAAAATAAAATATAAAGAGAAATTCGACCCACTGTACCAATGAAAATAAGCAGAATACAGAGGTTTTCATCAGCTGTAAGCGCTCTACTGTTATGGTAAACGAAGGCTTTACCCGTGTTGTGTCTCTGCGTTTCATTTTGTTCATATTTATAATAATCTACATTGTAAATTCAAAACTAGCACTTCAAGCGAACATGTTTATGTTTGGATCCAAATCCTGTATATTATATTATTTTCAGGAAACCAAAAGGCGACGAACATAACATTGCACATGGATTTCAAGCGGAAGTGTTCAAAAATTCCTTCGACAACAGTGAAGTATACTGGTCTTTGAAAGCACTTTGAAGGTATATGTCGCATTTCGCTGTTTTTGTCAGATGTTTTAAAAACATTAGAGGATATTGAATTGAGGTGGTTCATACTGAATTTATTGCACTCGTTGAATAAATCTATATCATGCGAGCCTCTGGCGAGCATGAATATTATTTTATTAACAAACGAGAATGTATGTGCAATTAAAGTTTCAGTAGATGAACTTAACACGAATTTTAATATGCTATTTTATCACAATACCCAAAATAAAGATCGTTTTTAAAGTAAAATTAAGAGTAATTTGCGACTTGACGCGTTTATAGTTTTTAACGCTAAACATTTAGCGCGCCGTCTTTTACATGGGTTTGTATATGATAACGCTATGACGTCGCGTCAAAATATCATGCACGGTCCGCTGAATACCCATAATTTTACCGGAGTCGCAAGTAAAAAGTAATCAATATTTCAAACTTTTTTTCAATCAACCTATGCGCCATCAGTTATAGATGTTCCGATTTGTCATTTATGATTCGCGATTCTTCGTAGTAATTTTAAAAAAACAAAAGCCAATAATTTTACTTAAAGGAAAGATCGAAATTGTACAAAGATAGTCGTGCTTTGTATAGTAATCATGGGACTATATAATAGTCTTTCATGTAAATTAAAGGCGATA